GCAGCCCTTGGAGAAATAGAATGGATCCCATATTCTATTTGCAATTGTATACAGTGTGTAGGTATCGTAATGAGATGTTGACGGAATGATGACCTTAAGCAAAAATTTCACGGTTTCACAGTATCGCCTGTTTGGCGATTACAGCTCTAAAATGTGTTCTTTTGAATTGTCTGGGTAAAAAATCTCATCTTTTTCCCACTGAACACATATTTTATTTTTTAGCAACAACATAAGACACTATGAGTTTTAGGATAGCCTTCTGAATCACTGAATTCAGCTGTTCACTTCCATGGCCACAGGTGCATAAATCAAGCATCGAGCCATGCAGCCTGCTTCCACAAACATTTGTGAAAGAATGGGTCCGATACCACAGCAACGGTATAACGGAACACTTTAGTGGTTTTGACTTTTTCCAAGACACTGAACCACAGTGGCTTCGCAATGAGTGTGTTAATGTGTATTATTTTCATTCGGATGTGCAGCGGGCACCTTAGCCTCTGACATCAGTGCGTGAATAGGTGAATGTGATGTGTAAAAGTTCTTTGAGTGGTCGCAAATACTAGAAAGGTGCTAAACAAATACAGACCATTTATCATCTACAGTTTTACCATCTTATCTTACTAGTTACTTTGGAGACTTTTGAACCAATGAACACCTGCAGTCGGACTGGATTCTCTGAAAGCACACGCTAGAGACACAGAGGTGTTTGAAATTCAGAGCCTCTAACCGATGTAATTTCCCTATTATTTATTTAATCCTGGTAATGTTGTTGTGTGTTCATGTACTTTCCCCTTGAAGTCAGAGCTAAAGTGCAATTTATACTTCTGCGTCAAATCTGCCTGACGTGCACCTCAAAAATGTAACTACACGTCGAGTCGATGCGGACCATAAGCACTGTGATTGGTCGGCTGGGTAGCCTCGCAATGCCTCCGAGCCGACTGGAAGTAACATTTACTAGGCTCTAACACAGTGAATCAATATATTTGCGCATTTACTCCTATACTTACTCCTGCGTAGGGTCTACGTGCGTACCTACGCCGTAGACCCTACGCAGGAGTATAAATGGGCCTTTACGGTCCGTGTCGACGTGTAGGTACATTTTGGAGGAGGTGCCCATCAGGCGACGGCGTAGCATCTGCGTAGCCCCGTCACCTACGCCGTCTTTCTGACTCAAATCCGACGTAAATCGGACACACAGTGCCTTCAGACTCAACTTGAGACTAGTCCTCAAAAGACTTCAGACTCGACTCGGACTCGAGGTGCGGGACTCGTGAACAATGCTTATTTTTAGGAAACGTCTGATACGTAACACGTCATCTGCAACACGCGGCCACACGTGAGACAACGAACAGCGGCAGCTGCTGAGCCAGTCATCATAGCTTTAAAACTTCATACAACAAGACCCAAACAAAGAAGTGCTGAACGCAAAATAGGTTAGTAACCATGTTTAGCTCAGCATTGGCCATCTAACGTTAGCTTGCTTCTTGCTTTAGGTACGACCTACTGGAGGTTAACTCTTGTTTGTTATGAAAAGATGAATGAGCGTTTGTTTACTTGCCAAACTTGTGGTGGTCGATTAACGTAATCATTTACGTCGTCATTAATTGCATTGCACATCACATGGTTGTGCTCTGTAAGTGAAAAACAGGTTACAGTTACAGAATCCCTTCTAGCAAAGCAGTTTTATAATCAGCCTGCTTTGAATGGTTTGGTGAAACAACATTCATTATAACCACAAGAGACTTGAGACTTGGACTCTAGCTCAGAGACTTGAGACTTGAGACTCTAGCTCAGAGACTTGAGACTTGAGACTCTAGCTCAGAGACTTGAGACTTGAGACTCTAGCTCAGAGACTTGAGACTTGGACTCCAGCTCAGAGACTTGAGACTCTAGCTCAGAGACTTGAGACTTGGACTCCAGCTCAGAGACTTGAGACTTGGACTCTAGCTCAGAGACTTGAGACTTGAGAATTGGACTCTAGCTCAGAGACTTGGACTCTAGCTCAGAGACTTGGACTCTAGCTCAGAGACTTGGACTCTAGCTCAGAGACTTGAGACTCTAGCTCAGAGACTTGAGACTTGGACTCTAGCTCAGAGACTTGAGACTTGGACTCCAGCTCAGAGACTTGAGACTTGGACTCCAGCTCAGAGACTTGAGACTTGGACTCTAGCTCAGAGACTTGAGACTTGGACTCTAGCTCAGAGACTTGAGACTTGGACTCTAGCTCAGAGACTTGAGACTCTAGCTCAGAGACTTGAGACTCTAGCTCAGAGACTTGAGACTCTAGCTCAGAGACTTGAGACTTGAGACTCTAGCTCAGAGACTTGGACTCTAGCTCAGAGACTTGGACTCTAGCTCAGAGACTTGGACTCTAGCTCAGAGGCATCTCTGGCTCAACCTACCGAGGGCAGTTACAAACTCGCGTTGTGTGTGAACCCAGCATGACTGTATGTTACAAAGAACAGAACATCTCATTTAAAATATTCAGCCTAGTTCACATGACTGAGCCTCCAGTGAAAGATCAACGAAAGCCAACGTAACATGTCACAGAGTGGTATTAGTACTTTTACTGCAGTAAAGGCAGTTTCCAGTGAGAATAAGCAGTAAAGTGCACAAACCTGCTCTGTGTAACCGGACTTCAGGCTTGAAAACAGCGTCCAGTAGTTTGCGTTGTCCACAAAGTTCCTCCTCGTACTCTGCTATCGTTCTTTCAAACAGCTCAAATATCTCTTCAGCAGCCGCACTTAGTCGCTGCTGGACAAAAGCTCTCAGCGTTTGGACTTTAGACATGTTTACAACAGCTTTTCCTCCAGACACACTCCGTTACAGACACGCAGCTCACTCTGATAAAATACACACTGTGAGGCCGAGCTCCGGCTCCGGCTACTTCCTGCTAACAAGCTAACTTCCTTTAGCATTCTTGGCTAACAGGAGATGAGTCTGAGGTGAAACATCCCGAAAGTTTAAACAGAGTCCACTTAAACACGTTGATCCTCACATGCAGGCTCTGCTGCTGAACTCCGGCTGCATCTCACGGTGACAGAAAGGAAAATATTAGCATCTTAGCAACCGGAAGTTCACCTGCTTCCGGTAACAATTTACACTTTTTCAAATTAAAAGTCACCAAAGTTTTATTTACACGCTCTTATCTGTTTATTAAGAATTGATAATAGTAGAATAATGGTGGATTCTTTGCTGAAGTAAATATAGAAATACCACAAATTAAAGTAAAAAATACAGAAACGCATAATGTACAATACATTGTAATACAGCCAACTCTAAGTATAACTATGACAGTGTGTAATATTCTAGTGTTCACTGTTTAATCTGACGGCATCATATTACTCTTACAGGGCTGAAAGTTCTCCGGCACTGAATCAGAATTCTGCAACATGGTCCTTTTAGATTTTAAAAATATTCTTGCAAAAACAATTTAACTTTTCTTGTAGCAAGAATATGGCTGCATATATATTGTATTTATAAAGAAGACCTACTTTTTAATATAAAAAGTTGTTTGTTTTTGCGTTTGTTGTTTTGTTATACAGCAGATGATTTTAAAGATCAATTCAAAGACACTGTAACATTGAACTTGCAGGTCCTTTCAGTTCCTGCTTTGACCACTTTCAGCCACTAGATGTCCTGTAAACACAGACACGTCATATCAGGGACTGACAACAAGACTTTGATTCCTACAACTACAAACTGGACACATCTGGCAGAGGAAACGTTTGTTAATAAGAAGTCATCATCTAGTTATTTCTTCTAGCTTGATATACTCTGAAGTAGAAAACTAAAAAGAGACAGGAAGACTTGGACAGACCGTAACAAACATGAAACCCTCCTGGTTGGATCAGGAGTGAAATAACACGTGAGCTTCTAAATTAAGCTACAGCCATCGTTTTATCTCGATTAACTTATTCTTATTATGGTTAGAAGCCAAAATCCAAATTGTGATTCAAGTTCGCACAGCCCTAATCTGAGTACTGTATGGAAACCTCTGCTTTAAAAGACTTTTGATTTGAGAGAAAAAACACAAATACAGCACGAGCATTTTACCAATCAATTGTTCATGTTTTACCCACCGCAGGAATCATACCCCAGAACCGGGAACCTTTGGAGGAACCAACTGCATTTCCACCGCAGGGAACCAGGGTCTTAATTTATTTCCAGGGTCTTTATTTTAACCCCCTGAAAAAGGTCCCTGCTCAGGGGGCAGTACTTTCTGAAAGTACTGGTACTTTGGGAGGATGGGGCTTGCCTTGCCGTGAATTTCTGAATGGTGAAGCCCAGAGGCTGCTCACTTTAATTCAAGCATTTCAGGTGTTTTTTTCCCACCATTATTTGCAAACCAGTAAATCATAATCACCAGTCAAATAGCACACAGGTCTCGCCGATGGCCTGAGCTCGTCCATCAGTGTTATATTTATAGCTTGGAAATAGCAGCCAGCGTGCAGCAGTGTGTTGTAACACTTAATACTGGGTCCAAACCAGAATCTGAATGCAAAGTACATTTTCACCTACATAATTTGCCGTGGTATATGTTGGTGCTTTAAAGTACACATGAACATAAATATAAATACATAAAAGGCAAAAGAACAAAAATTTACAAGTATACAAAATAATACCATAATACTATAGGAAAAATAATGTCAAATAAAACAGGATAATTACAAGTATGTGCAGAAATTCTCAATTCAGCGTTAAGTGTTGTTCCAACATGGGGTCAGCAGTGTGTGTGTTTGAGGGGGGGCCATGAGTCGGTGTTAGTGGGGGCCCCGCCTCGTTAATGAGGCTAACTGCAGTCGGAAAGAAACTGTTTTTGTGGTGCAAAGTTTTTGGTCCTGATGGACCGCAGCCTCCTGCCAGAGGGGAGAGTCTGAAACAGTTTGTGTCTGGGGTGGAGGAGTCAGCTGCGATCTTTCCTGCTCGCCTCAGAGTCCTGGAGGCGTACAGGTCCAGAAGAGAAGGAAGATTGCAGCCAATCACCTTCTCTGCAGAGCGAATGATGCGCTGCAGCCTGCCCTTGTCCCTGGCAGTGGCAGCAGCGTACCAGGTGGTGATGGAGGAGGTGAGGATGGACTCATTTGTGACTCATTTATTGTTTAAAGTTTTCATCAGTCAGGATGTTTCTACAAGCAGCTGAAGACGGTCTCCTCCTCTCCAAAACAAATGGGCCAGTTGATTAAAGCAGGTAATAAAGCTCATTAAAAATCCTGTTCCTCCGACACTCAGGCGACATAGACGCGAGTCCTGCAGCTGATCTGCAGCTCCTGTCAGCTGGAAATGTTTTCATAACCTTCCAAACTGTCACATCATTATGGTTTGTGTTGCTTTCTCTGTGCTAGAGTTCTTCTAAGAACTTGATGGATTTATAGAGTTTGTCATTAAATTCTCTCTTCATTGCACTCCCACACAAAAAAGCTGTTGGTCAAGCTAAGCCTTTAGTTTTTCATTATATTCCAATGAAATTAGATATTCATTATAAATTCTGCTCACGGATCGTGGTTAATGAATAACGACGCATGGCCATCGCTTTTTCTTCAGCTGGTTAATTAGCCTAATTTTCGCAGGTCTTTAGACCACGGTGGGAACGCACACAACAATGGGCTGAAGGAACCTTTTAGTTCCTTGAAAAGCAGATCCTGGTATTAAAAGTACTTCTGGTGGAAAAGCGTCTAATGGGATCAATTCAAGACTGGGAGAGTCCATTCAATTAGAAATAAACTGTGTTGTTGTGAGGTAAGTCAAGTCAATTGTAAATCACAATTAAAACAACACATGTTGACTTCAGGGCTGTACACGTGGCGCAAAATAATTTTAGACCATTTTAAAATCAATGAATACAAGTAATACCATAAAGCACCCCGAGAACGACTAAATAATCTAAACCCAACTGAAAACAGAATGAAAATGATCAGGTGGCTTATTTTGTAGTCTGTCACACAGTTCTGAACTGATCAGTGTTGAGCCAAGTCTTGCCCTCAGTTCTTCAGTCCTGTTGGCTCAACAAGCATCTCTGCAGCTTCATTTACATACACTGCTCTAACCAGTACACTTGTGGTCTTTTAAAACATTAAGCTCAGTGAAACTTTTATCACAGCTGCTGCAACTAAATGATTTCTCTCTTGTGTGGGTTCTCATGTGTTGCGATAAATTGCTTCTGCTACTGAACCTTGCTTTGCAAACTGAACATGTGAAAGGTTTTTCTCCTGTATGAACTCTTAAGTGTTTAGTCAAAGTAGAGTTTTGTGTAAATATTTTACCACAGAAAGAACAACTGAAGGGCTTCTCTCCTGTGTGGATTCTCATATGTTTGGATAAAGTGTTTTTGAGACTGAAACTTGTTTGACAAACTGAACATGTGAAAGGTTTTTCTCCTGTATGAACTCTTAAGTGTTCGGTCAAAGTTGAGTTTTGTGTGAATATTTTACCACATACAGAACAACTGAAGGGTTTCTCACCTGTGTGGATTCTCATGTGTTTGGATAAAGTGCCTCTGTCACCGAAACGTTTTGTACAAACTGAACATGGGAAAGGTTTTTCTCCTGTGTGGATTATCATGTGTCTCTTCAGCTGTGAGTTTTGCCTGAACAGTTTACCACACTCAGAGCAACTAAATGATTTCTCACCAGTGTTACATTTAATATTATTTTGCAGAGGGTTTAAACCTGACTGAGGTTCCCTGGTCTCATGCCAATTACAACTGTCATCAGTCTCAGGTTCAGAGCAGTCTGACATTTTGTCATCAGTATCTAGTTGTAAATGTCTATCACAGTCTGTCACATCTTCTTCACTCTTCACAGGGACAGGAGTGAATGTGAACTTGATGATATCAGCCTCCTTCAGCCCTCGTAACTGCTCTCCGTCCCGACTGATCCAGAGTTCCTCCTGTTCCTCTTTAATGTGTGGCGGCTCTGTTGGGTCCTCCTGGTCCAGACCGGAGATCCACTCCTCTTTAATGTGTGGCGGCTCTGGTGGGTCCTCCTGGTCCCGACTGGGGCTCCATCCTGTTGCTTAGTGGGAACCGCTTCTTCACTCACCAACAGCAGCTGGACGTCTGTGGAGAATAATGAAATACATACAAAAACTTTCTGTTAACATTTAAACCAGTGACACCACTACTTTCTTAAAAATGTGGGAAAATGATGCACACTTTGTATACACATATGTGGAAGGAGGGCTTGGTGAAAATTAGGAAAAGGATCATTATCAAATGTGTCAATAACAAAATTGGGCATTTTTTCCTCAACATGACTTGATCTAAAAGCCTATCACACAGCAGAACAGACATTGGATGTCCTCTGGAAAAGAGGGGGAAAACCAAGGTGGAATCAAGGGCCACGAAAGCCACTGGTGGAAGTGAAGACAATCACAACTCTGATGATAGGCTCGTCCACACGCGGCACACCTGCTGCTGAAAAATGGAATCGCAGGTGGGAAGATCCAAAACACGATATCTGTGTTTTTTGGCAACTTTATAAAACTCTGCTGCTGGTGGAGAAAATCAACTAAGCAGAGAGGGAGAGAGAAACAGAGAGACGAGGGGCAAGCAGGTGTGTCTGAAGCAGAGGTGTAGGTGTGGAAAAGAGAACTGAAGGGAAAAGCATAGTGAGCAGATTCGAGTAGTGAATAAAACTAAAGCACTAAAATAAGGTGGAGAATGTGGTAAAATTAAAATTGTGAAATAAGAAACAACCTTATAGAAAGTAAACATATATCCCTCCTGTTTGGCTGTGTTCTGTTTGTTCATACAACTGTATTCTTCTCCCTCCTTTTAACTCTGATTTTGATTAACTTTGATTTTTGCTGATTTCCTCATGCTCTGGCCTTTTTGCGGACGGTAGCTCTCCTGGTATGCAGTCCAGGGCTGTTTGCTGCATGTTGTCCAACTTCCGTCTCTCTTCAGCTGCTATCCAACAAAGGCAAAAAGCCCCAAAAATAGCCTTAAATTATTATAATCATTACTTCACATCCTTAAGGTTTTCCCTGTTTCCATCTCTGTATAAACACTTTTATATTACAAGCTGTATTACAATTACAATTGTTCATATTACAATTCCTTGTATGTGTAAAACACTACTTGGCAGTAAAGCTCCTTCTGATTCTGATTCCTCTGGTTTAAACATCAGTGTGATTTATGTGCACTACCTGTCTATTACCAGTTTTCATAACACATGTACACATTATGTTAATGCACAACCTGTCAACATGACAGTTTCTGACCAATGTACACCGGCTGACTACAGTATTATATTATACTATTTTTACCTGCGTGATTTTCTTTTCATGAACATGTTTTATGGGCCCAGAACAGAGTTTCATTGACTGATTCATCACTGCTGTTTATATGACAATAAACTACCTCTCTTATTATAGTGGAGCTGGTTTCCAGCAGTTTACCGTGAGAATAAGCAGTAAAGTGTACAAACCTGCTTCAGGCTTGAAAACAGCGTCCAGTAGTTTGCGTTGTCCACAAAGTTCCTCCTCGTTCTCCACTTTAGACATTTTTACTGATTCACAGCAGCTTTTCCTCCAGACTGTTTCCAGCTAGCAAGCTAAGCTAACTGCATTAGCTTCGTAGGACACCGGGAGATAATTCAGATGTTAAACATGTTCAGATAAAGGGAACAGCACAGAGTCTATTCAGACAGCTCTATCTGGACATTTGGACATTTGGGCTCCGTGAAAAATACAGTTTGGTCTCTATGGAAGCTGCTCCGACTGTGAGGCCGAGCTCCGGCTCCGGCTACTTCCTGCTAACAAGCTAACTTCCTTTAGCATTCTTGGCTAACAGGAGATGAGTCTGAGGTGAAACATCCCGAAAGTTTAAACAGAGTCCACTTAAACACGTTGATCCTCACTTACAGGCTCATTGTCTGTTCGAAACGGGCCATTTTGCCAATATCGACCTGCAGAGCCAGAGAGCCTCTGTACGCATGCGCCACCAGTTTATTGAGATGCTCCCAAACATCAACCGAACCTACATTTTAATATTAAGAATTTAAAAAACATGTTACTTTTGTTTCTTTGTTTGCAAAGACTGCACACATGAAAAACAAAATGTAGCCTACAATAATTTTTATCTATTAAAAATGTCACCATTTGTAAATGATATAATGAATCAGCGTTTGTGGGAAATGCTGAAAGAAAGGCAATGTGACTTTATTTTTACAGCACAATTTATCCTCCAGAGCAGTTTAATGTGCTTTACAGGTTACACAAACAAACATAGTGTAAACAATACTGTGCAAAGCAACAGGAAATCAGAGACTCTTGTGCTCATCACATCCATCTGTATTCATGACCCTTTGGGGGCTCCACAGTCCCAGCCAGAAGAGGGGTTTGATGTGCCATCAAAGCTCTTTTGAAGAAGCGCAAAGAAAGGGGCAACTTTGATGACAGTAGACACAGTGGTCTGTCAGTTACTTACTGTCAGTTCAGTTCAATTCAATTCAATTTTTATTGTTATACCTTGTGGGGAAATTCTATATTATATAATCTATATATTCTATAACAATAGGGCTAAAAACTGAAAACAAGCATACATGACACATTACAGAGTACATCATCTATTTGTCCATACAGAGCCCTGATCTCAACATCATCCAGTCTGTCTGGGATTAAGAGAGAGAAGCAGCGGGGGACTGCAGGGAGTTCTCCAACATGTTTGGGTCAAACTACCTGCAGAGGTCCTTCAATAACCATGTTCAGGTGTACCTAGAAGAACTGATGCTGTGGTCCCATCAGATATTGATCTGATTTTAGATTTTGACTTTACAGCATCTTTTTGCAGATGACAGAGGGTAAATTTGTACAGTTTTAAAAAGTACAAAAGTGCAGACAGGCATTAGAATTTTCCGTCTTTAAAGGTAAAATCAAATAGGTTTCCCCAGGTCAGGATCGTTTGCTGAGCTAAACCAAAGAGACGGTTGGTGACTCTCCGAAACAACTGTGGTGGAAATTGTATATTTCCTTGTGAAGAAATTAACAAATACATTAGTTACAACAAACAGTTTTCTTTGTGATATTTATTGAAACAAGTGCGAGTGATTCGGTTGAAGGGCAGAAGGGGGATTAAAGAGTCCAAGAAAAACAGGCTAAACATTGAAAGCTAGAGAATAAATGTAGAGTCTATGAGAAAACACCTTCTCAGCCGTGAGCCACGGTTTAAACTCACTTCTCATGGAAAAGCAGCATGCATGAGCCAAAATCTCACAGATGTTAATTATATAAAACACCGGTACACTTAGTGGAAAATATTACACCACATAAGACATATATGGGATTATTGAAAGTCAAACTCTTCCTCTCTTAGTCTGCTTGGTAGGTGGAAGCGCTCTGTGGTCCGTCTCCTAGGTAACCCATGATAAGGATAATCTTCATCTTGTTGAGTGGCTGGCTCTCTTTAGAAAGTGTAGCATGTGACTCGCAGGACACACAACAGGACTTACGTATTGGATCTGTTTGTAAATACAACAGAATCTTAATTTGTTAAGCTTGAGAAAAGGAAAAGTCTACTAGCTGCTAATTACATTCAGGCAGTGTAGTGAAAGAAAACATGCTTTGTGTCATTTTTACTTTACTTCCTGCATTTTGATTAAATACAGTTGGATCTTTTACAAATATTTGCTGCAGATGATCTATAAACTACTTACAGTTATGACTTATTATATCCATAACTATTTGGTTTTCCAAGTGATGAATCAACACACCTAATTAAAGCATTACACATTTTATTAGTAACTGGTTTACAAAAAGTTTACTACAATTCATAAATCAGCTGAAATAAAAAAAGAATGAACACCTGATTGTAGGAAACACCTGAAACAAAATATTCTTTATTCACTGGAACATTTCTGATGGGGAAAAATGTACAGACTGTAATGGCCTGGTCAGAAGGAGCTGCTCTGCAGAGAAACCTGTTTGTTAATGATAACGGTGTGTTCCAGTTGGAACGACCCCTTAAGACGCATCAGATTCAGAAACTTGGGAGAACTGCACTACCTCTAGCTTCTTGATCCAAGATGGCAGCTCCGTGTACAAACAGTTAGGGAAAGCTGTAGTTTATACTGTGTATCAGCATTTCTGTGTATTAGTACCTCATAGAGAATGCGGTACACAAAGTAGTGTCTGTGGACATGTTGCTAATGTGTTTAATATGAGTATGTACTGCATAATGTGTTTGTTTTTTTACCGGTGTTGGTAACAATGGTTAGCCTGACTAGTTGTCAGCAACGGCTGGCTGAGCGAGGTTTTCTGACTTGTAACTGGAAGCCGGTCAACTCGGCCGGACGTCATTCCCAGCACTTCCGAGGTAAATGGAAGGAGGCATAAACCATCATGGCGCAGGAGAGCGAGCTCCCTGCGCCACCCTCTTAACAACCATAGCTGCCTATAAATAGTGATTGAAATGGCCTTTATTAATATTAATACTAATGACTGCATGAAAATAAGGATGACAAACTCTGACAGAAAAGCTAATAAATAAATTTAACACAGCGTGACACTGACGTTCTTTTTGGTTTGAAGCAACAAAAATGATGATGTTAGGTGGATGAAGCGCGGATATACACGCGATGCTTGTGCACCGGAGCTCCACCCCTTCATAATCGATCTGCAGACAATCGCATCCCTCCTGAGTGGTGACGGTGGTGGAGGGGGACACATGCACTGAAGGATCCAGGTCCATAATTTGGATCCCTAATTTGAAAAGAGTGTAAAATAAATACGTCCTTTTACGTAATTTGTCCTGTTGACATATTTATGAGAATACATTTAACTGCATGCAAGTATTGACTGCAGGTCAAATTAAATGTAATTCCTGATTTAACTGTGCAACATACTTGAGGCGTTCTTTTGCATAAACAGATCTCTGTTTGTGTTTATTATCCTAAATCACGGTTGTTTTTGTGTGTAATCAGGATATCTCATTTTTAAATAAACTAAAATCATGTTTTTTTTATTTGCGCACCTCAGGGATAATCAAAAGGGGGTTTGTTTATTTGTTTAAGTAGAAAATGAACTAATATATAATTATATTATCAAAATCATCACGGTGAAGTCATTTCCTCCGCGGTAATATGTTGGGGCTCAAAAGCGCAGTATCCAGTATTACCACATTTTTCTGCATTTTCATCATTGAAGTAATTTGGTAACATATAGCAGAGTAAGGCCCCGTCCACACTGCTCCGTTTTAGTTTACAAACAGAGAATTAAAACGATTATGATCTCCGTCCACACCAGCAAATGACTGAAAACGCACAGCTATTGGCCGTTCAGGTGCACTGGGCATGCGCGTGCCGGTGTAAACATGAAGCAGATTCCGTAGTTATAGAAGATTTGGTGAAAGAATAAAGAAATGCAGACAAAGAATCACACCAGTTTTTTTTTTGCATGCACCAATAACGAGCTGAATGTAACACGGGACTGTGGCGGCAGAAAACAGACTGGGAGTCGTCGCAAAGTAAACGGCGACATGCACAGTACAAGTGTAGGCAGGTAAGTCTTATTTGCACGATACAGAATATTTTAATAAAAATACCAAGTCAAAAACCTTTTAAGACCCAATCAGAGAGCCGAGCGTCTGCGTCATTGTTTCTAAAGTCCTCCGTTTTGGCCCGTCTTCACTAAAACGCCCTCCGGAGTTTTGAAACGCAAAACGTGGGTCGGCAGCATTTCCAAACTTCTCTGTTTTAGTGTGGACGGGAGGTGCAAACGTAGCAAAAGGTCTCCGTTTAAAAAGAAAAACGCAGTACGGGGGCCTAAGAGTGTCTCACCTCGCTGCACAGCGAGCCGCTAACAGCAGCTTTATGGTCAGAGCAAGCTAGCTGCTGGGTGCTAGTCAACAATCGTTACCTTCAGGGCCTGTCTATCAAGTCAATTTACACGCCGCAGCAACGTGCACACACACTGGTACGGAACAGAATAGGATGTCCACCACTAACCACTGTGCTAAGTAACGTTAAAATTAAATTTCTACAGAAGGCAACATGAAAAACAGTTGCAGGCATCAGACACACTAAGCTCGTTAGTGAGCTTTAAATGAGGCTTTCTCTCGACTGTACAACATTAATCCAACATCGCCGAGCCTGCTAGCCACATTAGCCGCACAATATGCTAACGGCAAGTTAGCTAACCTTTAAAATAAACACGTCAACACTTACAGCTTCCAAGTTTGAAGTCAGGTCACGTACAGCAATCCGTCCTTGAACCGTTACAGAACTCTTTACAGTTATTATGGAACTTTTGAAGCACTAACTTAATAATTTAATGCGCACTGAAGTGTAATGTATGTGTGTGGCTGACACTAGTCTGTTACTGTCTGTGCTGCTGTGTGCATGATATGAACCATTATGTGGCACAACATGCATCTAAATTGACCAATACAAAATTGGAGACCAGAGCCAATCAGTCTCACATTTCCAATGTTGTACCAGCCAATCAACTGGTGGACTGTTCCTCCCCTGTGTGGGTTCTCATGTGTTGTCTCAGACGTGACTTTTGCGCAAATCCTCTACCACAGACAGAACACCTGAAGGGTTTCTCCCCTGTGTGGGTTTTCATATGGGTGGACAAATTGCTTTTCTGACTGAAACTCGACTTACAAACTGAGCATGTGAAAGGTTTTTCTCCTGTATGAACTCTTAAATGTGAGGTCAAAGTTGAGCTTTCTATAAAACCTTTACCACAAACTGAACAACTGAATCGTTTCTCCCCTGTGTGGACAGCTAAGTGTCGTCTCAGATTTCCCTTATCTCCAAATCTTTTATCACAGACTGAACAACTGAAGGGTTTCTCCCCTGTGTGGATTCTCATGTGTTTTACAACCTCTACTCTCCATGGAAACGTTTTTTTACAAACTGAGCAGCTGAAACATTTTCCTTCTGAATGAAGTCTCATATGAGTCAATAAGGAGTTCTTACTGGGGTATCTTTTACCACAAACAGAACAACTGAAGGGTTTCTCCCCTGTGTGTGTTCTCATGTGATTCATAACCTCCACGTTACCTTGAAAAGTTTTTTTACAAACTGAGCAGCTGAAACGTTTTCCTTCTGAATGAAGTCTCATGTGAGTCAATAAGGAGTTCTTCCTGGGATATCCTTTACCACAAACAGAACAACTGAAGGGTTTCTCCCCTGTGTGTGTTCTCATGTGCTTTACAACATCTCCTCTCCATCGAAATGTTTTTTTACAAACGGAGCAGCTGAAACATTTTTCTTCTGAATGAAGTCTCATATGACTCCTTAGGGAGTTCTTCTTGTAGTAGCCTTTGCCACAAACTGAGCAACTAAACAGCTCTTCTGTTTGGATTCCATTGTGTTTTTGCAGATGTCCCTCATGGCCAAAGCTTGTAGAATATTCAGAGGCGCTACTTGATGTTTTTCTGTTATTGCATTCCACATCATCCTGGTTCCTGGCTGGTCCTGGTCCTCCACAGTCCCTTCCGTCAGCTTCTGTTTTCTTCTGTTCAGTTAATCTTTGATGAAGCTCTGAGGACTGACGACCAACACATAGATGGTTTTTGAGCTGATAAGACCAAGTGAATCTTCTGCCACAAACACTGCAGATGTATCGTTTCTCCCCCGTGTGGAGCGCCATGTGGTGTGTCAGATTTACCCTCTGATTAAATCTTTTACTGCAAACTGAGCAACTAAAGGGTTTGTCTCCTGTATGAATTCTCATGTGTCTCTTTAGCTTTGAGTTATAACGGAATCGTTTACCACACTCAGAGCAGCTAAATGATTTCTCACCAGTGTTACATCCACTGTTATTTTGCAGAGGGTTTGAACCTGACTGAGGCTCCTTGATCTCCTTCCAATCACAACTGTCATCAGTCTCAGGTTCAGAGGAGTGTGATGTCTTGTCATCAGTCGCTGTTTGTAAATGTCTATCTGGATCTACATTTCTGTCTGGTTCTGGTTCCCCACAGTCCTCTCCATCAGCTTCTGTCTTCATCTGTTCAGTGAGTCTTTGATGAAGCTGTGAGGACTGAGGTTTCTCTTCATCGTCTTCTTCACTCTTCACAAGAACAGGAGTGAATGTGAACTTGATGATATCAGCCTCCTCCAGCCCTTGAAGCTGCTCTCCCTCCTGACGGGTACAGAGTTCCTCCTGTTCCTCTTTAATATGTGTGGGTGATTGTGGGTCCTCCTGGTCCAGACTTGGGCTTGACTCCTCTTTTATGTGTGGGGGCTCTGGTGGGTCCTCCTGGTCCAGACTTGGGCTTGACTCCTCTTTTATGTGTGGGGGCTCTGGTGGGTCCACGCCGCAGCAACGTGCACACACACTGGTACGGAACAGAATAGGATGTCCACCACTAACCACTGTGCTAAGTAACGTTAAAATTAAATTTCTACAGAAGGCAACATGAAAAACAGTTGCAGGCATCAGACACACTAAGCTCGTTAGTGAGCTTTAAATGAGGCTTTCTCTCGACTGTACAACATTAATCCAACATCGCCGAGCCTGCTAGCCACATTAGCCGCACAATATGCTAACGGCAAGTTAGCTAACCTTTAAAATAAACACGTCAACACTTACAGCTTCCAAGTTTGAAGTCAGGTCACGTACAGCAATCCGTCCTTGAACCGTTACAGAACTCTTTACAGTTATTATGGAACTTTTGAAGCACTAACTTAATAATTTAATGCGCACTGAAGTGTAATGTATGTGTGTGGCTGACACTAGTCTGTTACTGTCTGTGCTGCTGTGTGCATGATATGAACCATTATGTGGCACAACATGCATCTAAATTGACCAATACAAAATTGGAGACCAGAGCCAATCAGTCTCACATTTCCAATGTTGTACCAGCCAATCAACTGGTGGACTGTTCCTCCCCTGTGTGGGTTCTCATGTGTTGTCTCAGACGTGACTTTTGCGCAAATCCTCTACCACAGACAGAACACCTGAAGGGTTTCTCCCCTGTGTGGGTTTTCATATGGGTGGACAAATTGCTTTTCTGACTGAAACTCGACTTACAAACTGAGCATGTGAAAGGTTTTTCTCCTGTATGAACTCTTAAATGTGAGGTCAAAGTTGAGCTTTCTATAAAACCTTTACCACAAACTGAACAACTGAATCGTTTCTCCCCTGTGTGGACAGCTAAGTGTCGTCTCAGATTTCCCTTATCTCCAAATCTTTTATCACAGACTGAACAACTGAAGGGTTTCTCCCCTGTGTGGATTCTCATGTGTTTTACAACCTCTACTCTCCATGGAAAGTTTTTTTACAAACTGAGCAGCTGAAACATTTTCCTTCTGAATGAAGTCTCATATGAGTCAATAAGGAGTTCTTACTGGGGTATCTTTTACCACAAACAGAACAACTGAAGGGTTTCTCCCCTGTGTGTGTTCTCATGTGATTCATAACCTCCACGTTACCTTGAAAAGTTTTTTTACAAACTGAGCAGCTGAAACGTTTTCCTTCTGAATGAAGTCTCATGTGAGTCAATAAGGAGTTCTTCCTGGGATATCCTTTACCACAAACAGAACAACTGAAGGGTTTCTCCCCTGTGTGTGTTCTCATGTGCTTTACAACATCTCCTCTCCATCGAAATGTTTTTTTACAAACGGAGCAGCTGAAACATTTTTCTTCTGAATGAAGTCTCATATGACTCCTTAGGGAGTTCTTCTTGTAGTAGCCTTTGCCACAAACTGAGCAACTAAACAGCTCTTCTGTTTGGATTCCATTGTGTTTTTGCAGATGTCCCTCATGGCCAAAGCTTGTAGAATATTCAGAGGCGCTACTTGATGTTTTTCTGTTATTGCATTCCACATCATCCTGGTTCCTGGCTGGTCCTGGTCCTCCACAGTCCCTTCCGTCAGCTTCTGTTTTCTTCTGTTCAGTTAATCTTTGATGAAGCTCTGAGGACTGACGACCAACACATAGATGGTTTTTGAGCTGATAAGACCAAGTGAATCTTCTGCCACAAACACTGCAGATGTATCGTTTCTCCCCCGTGTGGAGCGCCATGTGGTGTGTCAGATTTACCCTCTGATTAAATCTTTTACTGCAAACTGAGCAACTAAAGGGTTTGTCTCCTGTATGAATTCTCATGTGTCTCTTTAGCTTTGAGTTATAACGGAATCGTTTACCACACTCAGAGCAGCTAAATGATTTCTCACCAGTGTTACATCCACTGTTATTTTGCAGAGGGTTTGAACCTGACTGAGGCTCCTTGATCTCCTTCCAATCACAACTGTCATCAGTCTCAGGTTCAGAGGAGTGTGATGTCTTGTCATCAGTCGCTGTTTGTAAATGTCTATCTGGATCTACATTTCTGTCTGGTTCTGGTTCCCCACAGTCCTCTCCATCAGCTTCTGTCTTCATCTGTTCAGTGAGTCTTTGATGAAGCTGTGAGGACTGAGGTTTCTCTTCATCGTCTTCTTCACTCTTCACAAGAACAGGAGTGAATGTGAACTTGATGATATCAGCCTCCTCCAGCCCTTGAAGCTGCTCTCCCTCCTGACGGGTACAGAGTTCCTCCTGTTCCTCTTTAATATGTGTGGGTGATTGTGGGTCCTCCTGGTCCAGACTTGGGCTTGACTCCTCTTTTATGTGTGGGGGCTCTGGTGGGTCCTCCTGGTCCAGACTTGGGCTTGACTCCTCTTTTATGTGTGGGGGCTCTGGTGGGTCCTCCTGGTCCAGACTGGGGCTCCACTCCTCCTTTATGTGTGGGGGCTCTGGTGGGTCCTCCTGGTCCAGACTGGGGCTCCACTCCTCCTTTATGTGTGGGGGCTCTGGGGGGTCCTCCTGGTCCAGACTGGGGCGCCACTCCTGCTGCTCAGGGGGAACCTCTTCTTTACTCACCAACAGCAGCTGGACGTCTGTGGAGAATAATGAAATACATACAAATTTTAGTAATCAGTAGCAGTGGTTAACACTTAAATTACTGTCACCACTACTTGATATGATACACATTTTGTACAACATATTTTGTAATTCAAACTAAAACAAAACTACAAGACTATCATGCGCTCTGCATTTCTTCGGGGGAAAAATAAAATGATGCAACCAAGACAGCTGCGACTCCATGCTCATGTTTTGTGTATATGTAAATCCACTAGTCCTGAGTTCAGATAAATTTCTCAGCCGAAGATAGAAAAATCATTTTGGACCATTATTATTACCATATCTGTTCTATAAAGCCATGGAAGCTAATAAAAAACAACACAAAAAAAAGAAGTCTACTGGGGAGGAACTACAACCATTAGATCTGGGAAATGCAATTTTGTTAGTTTTATTGCTCTCCACAATGATTTTATAGGAAAACCTGTTAATATGACCTCAGAATCATTGTAGAAAGGATTGTTCATATTTGCAATTTATGTCTTAATTTACAGCTTTTGACATTTATCTGTAGAAATTATAATTAACTAAATAGGCAACACGTAAGTACCAGCATATTTATTCACTCCCTTCTACATTAAGCATTTCATTTGTACATTGAAATCCAAAAGAAACGTCTCCTCATTAGCTTAAAAGGACTAGTTTGCATCCCTTATATGCTTTACTAATCTCAGCTCCTCCATGGTCACCACCTTCCTTTTCCTAACCAAACTTTTTATACACTCATCTGAAAACTAAAATTCACTAAAGGGTTGTGCTATAACAATCAACTTTGCATTTTTGCAATTATCTCAAAAACAGCTTCGTTTAGAGCAGGCTTGGCTGATCTTCTCTATTTTCATAGCGACTGATCATGGCTACTTCAGATCACCAATTGGCGATAGGATTGCCAGGGGGCGGGGTTACATTGCACAAAGTCAGTGAAATTCCAGCATGGAAGAAACAGGCTTATTAGCTTTGAGAGAAACATCTGTAAATGCAGAGTGCAGCGTTTCCTACATAATTACCGTGCAACTGTGGTACCGCTCACTCGCACGTGCGGGGGATTGAAATTAATAGCAGCTATGTACAGCGTGCTAATCTCGACAACCCAGCTTGCTCGCTTGCTACATGCATGCTTGCTTATATCTTACTTGAAGGTGGGTCTCCGACACTGACGCATTGTGTTAAGAAAATAGCTAGACTAACTTCTTCGAGTTAACTTGAATGCATTAATTTTTCTATAACGTTATATAGACAGCTCCTTTTCAATGTCTTTGTGTGTGAGAGAGAGAGAAAGAGAGTCTTAACAGAATTAACATCCAATTTTACATAAATGCTCATATATCAAAGCTATTGTGACCAAAACTTGGACCATCTGTTTGGATTCTCAGTCCGAGTTTTGCTGAGCAATCCTGGGATATTGTTCCACTAAGGGGCGCCACACATGTGAAAAGTTTATACCACGTAATTCCCTGTGTAGGTCACAGGGTGTCTGTTAATAAAAGTCTGTTTCCCTACTGGGAGAACGAAGGCAGTAAGTGTTAACAAACATCTCCCCTGGTGCTTCAGACTGCGGTCTGGAAGTTCCGCAGGAAAGCTAACAGTGAAGTTTTGGCTGCTACATAACATTAGCTAAATATATAGGAAGTGACGTTAATTAGCTGCATATCATTACAACCTACTGGTCCAGTGCTGAGAACATTAGGTACAAGCCTAGACTTAAGACAAAAGCAGGGCCTGACAATAACAATGGTCCAATGGCCCGGGGCCAGTACAAAGATCAGGTCAGTGCAGAAACAATACTGACAAATACATTTTATCGCATTAGAAACTCAACATCCTGCAGCTTTTTTGCAACTCTTGGTGTGCACCATTGGCCAATCAAGAGTTGAAGTATTTGAACACCCTGCTATTTTGCAAGTTCTCCCACTTAGAAATCATGGAGGGGTCTGAAATTGTCATCGTAGGTGCATGTCCACTGTGAGAGACATAATCTAAAATAAAAATCCAGAAATCACAATGTATGATTTTTTAACTATTTATTTGTATGATACAGCTGCAAATAAGTATTTGAACACGTGTCTATCAGCTAGAATTCTGACTCTCAAAGACCTGTTAGTCTGCCTTCAAAATGTCCACCTGCACTCCATTTATTATCCTAAATTAGATGCACCTGTTTGAGGTTGTTAGCTGCATAAAGACACCTGTCCACCCCATACAATCAGTAAGAATCCAACTACTAACATGGCCAAGACCAAAGAGCTGTCCAAAGACACTAGAGACAAAATTGTACACCTCCACAAGGCTGGAAAGGGCTACGGGGAAATTGCCAAGCAGCTTGGTGAAAAAAGGTCCACTGTTGGAGCAATCAGTAGAAAATGGAAGAAGCTAAACATGACTGTCAATCTCCCTCGGACTGGGGCTCCATGCAAGATCTCACCTCGTGGGGTCTCAATGATCCTAAGAAAGGTGAGAAATCAGCCCAGAACTACACGGGAGGAGCCGGTCAATGACCTGAAAAGAGCTGGGACCACCGTTTCCAAGGTTACTGTTGGTAATACACTAAGACGTCATGGTTTGAAATCACGCATGGCACGGAAGGTTCCCCTGCTTAAACCAGCACATGTCAAGGCCCGTCTTCAGTTTGCCAATGACCATTTGGATGATCCAGAGGAGTCATGGGAGAAAGTCATGTGGTCAGATGAGACCAAAATAGAACTTTTTGGTCATAATTCCACTAACCGTGTTTGGAGGAAGAAGAATGATGAGCACCATCCCAAGAACACCATCCCTACTGTGAAGCATGGGGGTGGTAGCATCATGCTTTGGGGGTGTTTTTCTGCACATGGGACAGGGCGACTGCACTGTATTAAGGAGAGGAGGACCGGGGCCATGGATTGCCAGATTTTGGGGAACGACCTCCTTCCCTCAGTTAGAGCATTGAAGATGGGTCGAGGCCGGGTCTTCCAACGTGACAATGACCCGAAGCACACAGCCAGGATAACCAAGGAGCGGCTCTGTAAGAAGCATATCAAGGTTCTGGCGTGGCCTAGCCAGTCTCCAGACCTAAACCCAATAGAGAATCTTTGGAGGGAGCTCAAACTCCGTGTTTCTCAGCGACAGCCCAGAAACCTGACTGATCTAGAGAAGATCTGTGTGGAGGAGTGGGCCAAAATCCCTCCTGCAGTGTGTGCAAACCTGCTGAAAAACTACAGGAAACATTTGACCTCTGTAATTGCAAACAAAGGCTACTGTACCAAATATTAACATTGATTTTCTCAGGTGTTCAAATACTTATTTGCAGCTGTATCATACAAATAAATATGGATTTTTTTTTTTTTAGATTCTGTCTCTCACAGTGGACATGCACCTACGATGACAATTTCAGACCCCTCCATGATTTCTAAGTGGGAGAACTTGCAAAATAGCAGGGTGTTCAAATACTTATTTTCCTCACTGTATCTCCAATGTCAATCAAGTAGGAACCTCCAGGTCTAATAAAGTGAAGCCATGCGGACGTAATTTAAACCTTCATTAACAGCCAGCAGGGGGCGACTCCTCTGGTAGCAAAAAGAAGTCTGGTTCCATTATAAATAGTTTAACAGTGGGGCTGATTTATCACCTCAGTAAACACTTTCATAATGAGTTTATGGTGTCAGACATTAGTTTTAAATCTTTAGTAAAAACGTACTGCTGATAGAGAAAGACAGGACTGAGACACTGAAGTTCAGGCATTAGGCTAGCAGATAACGGTGTTCTCTGGGAATCTAATATGTCTACAGAACTCACTGTCTCCACAGATTAAAGTGCAAATACATAAAACCATTAGATTTCAACGTTGCATTGAAGTGTAAACATCAACAGCTTTAGACCAGTTAAAGACAACCTTGTAGGGAAATGCAGAGAAATAAATATCGTGGACAGGAACGTTTCATCAGATTTGTGTTCGTAGTCTGTATGCTGTTAACAGTCTTCCCTGACCGGGCTACATAAACAATACTGTGTAAGTCTTAATGAGTCTCCAAGAACTTCTTCATCACACCTGCCTCACTTTATTTTCCTTACAGTACTTTCTTGAGTATTCCCATTCTCTGTTAATTTATTCTTTTACTATCAGATATAACAGAGAAACTCTGACAGGAACATTTTACTGCACTGTGAGTACTTTTACTGTCATACTGTAAGTACATGTTGCTGATAATACTCACATACTTTTACTGAAGGAAGGTTTGAATGCAGGACTTTTACTCGCAGTGGAGTATTTTCACAGAGTGGTATTAGTACTTTTACTGCAGTAAAGGCAGTTTACAGTGAGAATAAGCAGTAAAGTGTACAAACCTGCTCCAGGCTTGAAAACAGCGTCCAGTAGTTTGCGTTGTCCACAAAGTTCCTCCTCGTTCTCCACTTTAGACATTTTTACTGATTCACAGCAGCTTTTCCTCCAGACTGTTTCCAGCTAGCAAGCTAAGCTAACTGCATTAGCTTCGTAGGACAGCGGGAGATAATTCAGATGTTAAACATGTTCAGATAAAGGGAACAGCACAGAGTCTATTCAGACAGCTCTATCTGGACATTTGGACATTTGGGCTCCGTGAAAAACACAGTTTGGTCTCTATGGAAGCTGCTCCGACTGTGAGGCCGAGCTCCGGCTCCGGCTACTTCCTGCTAACAAGCTAACGTCCTTTAGCATTCTTGGCTAACAGGAGATGAGTCTGAGGTGAAACATCCCGAAAGTTTAAACAGAGTCCACTTAAACACGTTGATCCTCACATGCAGGCTCTGCTGCTGAACTCCGGCTGCATCTTACGGTAACGGAAAAGTTAGCATGTTAGCAACCGGAAGTAATGTTACACCTACTACAACTTTTTTGCTGATTTTCAAAATAAATGTGACCAAAGGGAAGAAATACCTAGATCCTCAAATTAAGTAAATATACCACTAAGTATAATAAAAGTAAAATACACAAAACTTAATGTCAGAAAAAAAACATTATTATACATATGAATGTAAAAATTAGTACAATTAGATGTGAAATACTAACAGTAAAGTGAGGTGAGCTTTAGTCTTTGGGTTAAGTGTGTGAGACATGGATGTGGAGGTATTATCTCTTCACTCTGTGGTCCCATCTGCCAGGCAGTAGAGGAGAAGTGTAAAGCTGATGATACATGGAGCAACTTTTAGAGCAATGGTGCTGGGCAATGTTCCTGTCAATGGTAATGAGTAAAGATTACTACCGTAATCACCCTCCCCGCACCAACACTGTCCGTTCAAAACATAGTCGGACTTGCCACCAGCAACATTGCTCAAAAAGTTGCCCCGTGTATCATCAGTTTAATTTATAAATCTGAAGTACCTTATATCATCCTGGGCCCAAAGAAACCCTCTATCACAGGATGAAATGACTACAGGACATGGCCTTGAATTCTGTGGTCAGGAAATCCTGTGAGAGACTGGTGTTGACTCACCTGAAGGACTTCACAGGCCTGCTGGACCCCTTAAAAGTTTTCCCACCAAGCAAACAGGCCAGAATCAGAATCCAAAGCCAGGTATGTGTACACATATGAGGAATCTGACTCCATCTGCCTCGACCGGGAACTACTGTGTACAGAGACACACAAACATGAACTAAACCATAACATTCACAAACAGTGAATAAAAATCAATAAATAATCAATAACAAATAAACTCTCAGGTCAATCTGCAGAAAATTAACAGATAAAAGAGCAGAAATAGAAACCAACTGAAGGCCACAATCCCGACAGGTCAAAATCTGTTCACATTAACACCTCAACAAACCCTAAAACCTGCGAAAAGACATCACAACATCTTTTAGCAACTGTGAATCCACCCCCGAATAAATCCTCTTAAACATTACTAAATTATAGTCTTTTCTGCATTTTACTGAACTATTAATCTAGAAAGGCAGATTTAACACTGTTAGTAGTGTCTGTTATAAGGTCCTAAAGTTTCTCCAACTGATCCTCGCACAGAAACTAATAAACGACTCAAACATCAACAGAAATGTTGAATTTCCCTGTTCCTGAATGTAGTTCAGTGAAACATAGCTGCCATCCAGTGCACATCCGGCAAAACATCATCCTACAGGCCATGAAGGAGGTTTTCCTGCTGTATTTATGTTTTATGCTGCTGAATTATGTTTCTCATGTGGTAGAGAATAAACACATGTTAAAGTATAGATTTCTGCGTGCATTAGGCTAAATGTGTACAAGTGATCCTATATTAGAAATAGCACGTAGAGATAAAATTTTCACTTTGGTCTGTTGATGGAAATGAAATAGCTATTTCCCCCCCAGGTCACTAACATTAGCTACTTAGAATAATCAAAGCTAGGCTACAAAACTTATGCTACACTGTTTGGTACTGAGTGAGCAGAAGCAGCAGCTGACTCCTCACTTTGTTCTTGCTCTTCTTTCAGCCTTTAGTTTTAAGCATAGATAAATATTTATTAATCCTTTCGGAATTCAACAAGACAACTGCTTTCCCAACACAAACATCACCTGAATGCTATACAAGTTATACTAAGGTGCAGCTCCCCAACACCCAGAGATTCAGCTCTCTTTTATTATCTCTTTATTTGTTAAGAAATCCAATACTAGTAGGTCCAGTTTGATCATTTTCAATAAATGCTACAGATGATCTATAAATTACTTACTGATCCATAAATAGTTGGTTGCCCAAATTAAAAACCGCCATATAAAACATTTCACATTTTATTAAAAAAAATCTAATTGTTTACAAAACATTTACAATGAATTCACATTATTGATCAACAGAAAATCAAGAAAAATAACACTTGATTTGGAAAACAAGTCAAAGTATTTTTCATTAACTGGATGATTTCTGACTAAAAGAAGACATTACAGACTCGCTGCAATGAGCTGGTAGGGAGGAGATGTGCTGCATAATGTTTGATAATGACAAGGTATCATCTTCTTATTTCTTACAAATGAATCGCAGATGTTCATTTAAGTAAATGTCTTTTTTCTACAAAACTCCCTCTTTATGTTTCCACAGACTGGGTTTCCTTGCTGAGGCCGGGCGGAGGGATCTGTCTCGTAGTCACTTGGGACAAAGATACCCAGTTGAAGAATGATTACAGCAACCATCAACTCTTTCAACATACATATGGTATCCGAGTACTGTCTGGAAACAGGCTGGAAAAATCTGAACCTCTGCTTTAAAGGTAACTGCGTAAATCCAACACATAAGCTGTCTAATTTTCACGCCCCCTTAGTTACTGTTGCTAAGTTGACAAACTGTCAGGCCTGTCGCACTTTAAGCACGGCGCTGCCACTGTTTATTACTGCACTCCCCGGAGAAATATTGTAGCTAACGTTAGCTAACTAACATCACATTGGGAACAATCCACAGCCGACATTTTCCTGGATTTGTTTTAGGTTTTGGAAAGAGAATAAATCGTACTTCTCCTTTCAACCTCTCTGGGTAGCTGCTGTAACTATTACAAGTGCCTCAGGAACAGCGTTTGACCATATCTTGGAAAATACAGCTAAAAAAAAAGCTAGAAAACGAGTCAATGGAGCGCAGATGTGAAAGTGTCCGACCTCAGTTGGAGCGAGTCCTATACTGAGCTGTGATCGGCCAGCTACGTTTTTGGGGTGTGGCTTAGTGAAGGGTCGCTTCCACATAATGTTGGACTGTTAATACAACCACATCTGTGCATAATATTTTGGAAAATCTAGAGCACATTTGTAATAAACTACACCTCAAAAACTGAACTTACTAAAGAATTCTACTGGGGAGGAATTACCATTAGATCTGGGGAAAGTCATTTGGTTAATTTTGATGCTCTACCCAATGATTTTACATTCATGGCACAGCACCAAGCTAATAATAGAACATAATTGTGCTTTTTGATGTGAGAGCGCAGAGTGAATATTTAATCTCAGACTAAAAAGCTGAGGGGTTTCTACTAGGGGTGGGAATCACCAGAGGCCCCATGATGTAATTTCGAAATACAATATTATTAGTATTTTAAACATATTCCGATATATTGCAATTAATTACCAACTTTATCCAACTTCAAATTATGCCCCATAGGAAAACTTTGTCAACGTCGGTTTTATCTAAAAAAATAAATTTCGTTAATAATAATAGTTTGTTCCTCTCACTTTTTCAGCCCACTATATGGCGCTGTTGAGTTTTCTAGTGGACTGAAAATTCTAGTACCAAAAAGTTGAATTCTCATGTTCAATTGATATTATGAAAGATCAATCCTTGCCGTCCGTGTATCGATACAGTATTGCCACGGAAAATATCGTAATACTATGCGGTCTCAATTTGTCCCCACACCCCTAGTCTATACCCAGTATGCATTCTCTTGTTTTGGAACAAATTGCTTCTGAAACTTGTTTTACAAACTGGCCAGCTGGTCTTTCTCCTGTATGAACTCTTTAGTGTCTAATCAAACCTGAGCTTAGTTTTAATCCTTCCCCACAGACAGAACTGCTGTGTGGACAGTCAAGTGGCGTCTAAGCTGTATCTTTTGTCCAAATCCTTTTCCACAGACAGAACAACTAAATGGTTTCTCCCCTGTGTGGGTTCTCATGTGTTGGAACAAATCACCTCTGCGCCTGAAACCTGTTTTACAAACTGAGCAACTGAAAGGTTTTTCTCCTGTATGAACTCTTAAATGTGTGGTCAGAGCTGAGCTTTGTGTGAATCTTCTACCACAGACAGAACAACTAAATGGCTTCTCCCCTGTGTGGACTCTCATGTGTTGTCTCAGATGTTCCTTTTGTGAAAATCCTTTACCACAAACTGAACAAGTGAAAGGTTTCTCCCCTGTGTGGATTCTCATGTGCCTCATACCAGTATCTCTCCGTTGAAAAGTCTTTTTACAAACTGAGCAGCGGAAATGTTTTCTTTCTGAATGAAGTTTCATGTGACTACTTAAGGAGTTCTTCCAGAGGAATCTTTTACCACAAACTGAGCAACTAAATGGCTTCTCTCCGGTTTGGAGTCCATTATGTTCCTGTAGATGTTCCTCGTTACCAAAGCTTGTAGCACATTCAGCATGTTTCTTTATCTCCTCCCAATCAAAACTGTCATCAGACTCAGGTTCAGAGGAGTGTGAAGTCTTATCATGAGTATCTGGTTGTAAATGTCTATCTGGATCAGAGTTCCTGGCTGGTTCTGGTCCTCCACAGTCCTCCTCATCACCTTCTATTTTGATCAGTTGAGTTAGTCTTTGATGAAGCTGTGAGGACTGAGGTTTCTCTTCATTGTCTTCTTCACTCTTCACCGGGACAGGAGTGAATGTGAACTTGGTGGTATCAGCCTCTTCCATCCCTCGAAGCTGCTCTCCCTCCTGACTGATCCAGAGTTCCTCCTTTTCTTCTTTAATGTGTGGGGCTCTGGTGGGTCCTCCTGGTCCAGACTGGGGCTCCACTCATCTTTAATGTGTGGGGCTCTGGTGGGTCCTCCTGGTCCAGACTGGGGCTCCACTCATCTTTAACATGTGGGGGCTCTGGTGGGTCCTCCTGGTCCAGACTGGGGCTCCACTCATCTTTAACATGTGGGGGCTCTGGTGGGTCCTCCTGGTCCAGACTGGGGCTCCACTCCTGCTGGTCAGGGGAAACCTCTTCTTTACTCACCAACAGCAGCTGGACGTCTGTGGAGAATAACAGATAAATACACACGTTGAGAAAACCCTAACTTCCTGGGAACATTTAAACCACTAACAACACTACTTTCCTAAACGTAGGGCTGTCCTCTAGTAGTTGACTGAACCATTTTTAGTCAATGAGGAGTCTTAGACATAGGGCTGGACAATAAAACAATTTT